TAAGTCCACCCAGCAGGAGCTACAGCAAGATCTGCAGGTTTCTCCTCTTTGTTTGGAGTTTGGAAGTTTTGGAGCTCTCTGACCCAGCTGCAGTTTGTTAGGTTAGGCTCTGCTCTTTGCGCCTCCGCACTTCCTACCCAGTCTAAATGTGCTTTTTTCTTTCCTTCTAGTTGTAGAACTTCCACTCAGCCAGCTTTCCCATGCTGCCATCTTGGTTCTTGTAAAATAACTGTTTTAGTTTGAATAATAGAAAAAGATAAAAACTTAACTGTCTGACCTTGCAAGCTAGCTGTCTAACGTAATAGGCAAATACTGATAATAATTCCCATATTCTTATGCCGAGTGTTTGTTCATTATGTATCTAAGATTACAAACTGTCTGCAAAAATAACTTACACAGAGCTCTTTCTAAAATCTGCGGACAAAGAGCTCAAAAGGTATAAATAAGGAAAACTTCCTCTATGTCTTTGGAAGACACCTCCCTCTGAGCCCGCACATAATAAAGACACCTAACTAAAAAAAAAAAAAAAAAAAAGAAGAAGAAGAAGAAATTATCATAGTACATGTAAATTTGTTTTGTGTTGTGTAATTTCCCTACTTTGAGAGAGGGAAAATATAAACAGAGAGGAAGAGATAGAAACATCAATGATCAATCATTGATTGGCCGCCTCCTGCACACCCCCTACTGGGGATCGAGCCTTCCTGGACTTGTAAGTCTATTTCTTTCATCAGGTAGGGGAAGTTTTCTGTCATTATTTCTTCTAATAGGCTTTCAATATCTTGCTCTCTCTCTTTTCCTTCTGGCATCACCATAATGTGAATGTTGGTATATTGGAAGTTGTCCCAGAGGCTCCTTACACTTATCTTCATATTTTGGGATTCTTTTTTCTTTTTACTTTTCTGACTGGATGTTTTTTGTTTCCTCATATTCCAAATTGTTGGTTTGATTTTTGGACTCCTCTACTCTACTGTTGAGTCCCTGTAAATTATTCTTTATTTCAGTTAGTGTATGCTTAATTTCTGACTGGTCCTTTTTCATGTCTTTGACATTCTCACTAAGATCCTTGAAAGTCTCAAGAATATCCTTGAGTAACCTTATAACCATGGTTTTGAACTCTGTGTCCAGTAGTTTGATTGCTTCCATTTCTTTCATTTGTGACATGTTCCTTTGTTTTCGCATTTTGGCTGCTTCTTTGTGTTTGTTTCTATGTATTAGGTAGAGCTGCTATGTCTCCTGGATTTGTTAAAGTGGCCTTGTGTAGTAGGTGTCCTGTAGGGCCCAGTGGCTTAGTCCCCACAGTCACCTGAGCTGTGCACTCTAGGTGTGCCCCTGTGTGGGTTGTGTGCACAGTCTTTTTGTAGTTGATCTTTGATTGCTGTTGGCATCACTGGGAGGAGTTGACCTCCAGGTCAATTGGCTGTGAGGACCAGCTGCGACCACAGTGGGAGAGCTGCTGTGCAGGAAACACCCCGATGGAGCAGGACTTGCTTCAATGGGGCTTTGGTGCTCTCTGAGTCTGCCTCTTGAGTGTATCACTTATGGCTATGTAGAGTTGTAATCTGCTATGGGCTGAAGCTGTCCGTTGGGTACACTGGCTTTAGGGCATCCAGGGAGGTACAAGGTCAGTCACTGCCTGAGGCCACCAGGAGGAGCTACAGAGGGATCTGCAGATGGCTGCTATGAAGCAAGTGCCAGGTCTTGGGCTATTTATTTATTTATTTATTTATTTTTATTTTTAAAATATAAACCCTTCTCATTTTTTAGAAATTTGTTATTATTTTTTGTTAATGCTCACCTGAGGATATTTTTCCATTGATTTTTAGAAAGAGTGGAAGGGAAAGGGAGAGACACAGAGAAACATCGATG